GGCACTTTGGTGCCAGAAGCAGAGCTGAGCCCTGTTCCTGCCAGCAGCTAGCAAGAAGGCAGAGCCAGACAGGGCTGTCCTGGATATTTTGCTGCTGAGGGTGGACCGTCAAAGGGGCTTTCCCTCCCATCCCACGAGAGCTGCCCTGTGGAGCGCTGGTGGCTTCTGGGAGCTTCTGATGGTCCTCTCTAGAGACCTGGGCAGCCTGCAGATTATGGCTTCCTCAGCACAAAGGAGCCATGATCTGTGTCTGTGGGGTGTGTGTGGCAGGAGTGAGAAGGGTTTATGAGGCTTTGGGCTGCATGTCCTTTGGAAAAGATTCTGAATCAGTACTTTGACCCTTGCAAGAACACAGCACCCCTGAGCTATTATTAAAGCAGACAGACATGTTTCACTCTCCTGCATTAGCCTGAAACACGGTGTGGCTCCTTTAAGAGTCAGAGTGGATTCCTTGAAGCAGCAGCATCTTTAGTTCTTCATCCTTACAAGGAAGGGTATAAAATTTTAGGCTGCTTAAACAGTTAGTATAGAGGCTGTGACCTCATTTGAGATCAGAAGCACTTCTTCCAAATAAATTTCAAAGGTTGTGAAGGCTGAGAGGGTCATGAACGTTAAAAAGGTTGCCCAACTGTTTCTCAGCACCAGACCTGAGAAAACACTCCCTGGGTTTATAGGGTTTGCACTTTGCAAAGAGTTTGCTTCTCGATTGCTTTTCTACTTCAACATTACTGTTATCAATCTTCTATGCAGTGGGTCAGATTCACTGCCTCATTATGAACTGGCAAGCAGCCAGGTCATTGGGAGCAGAGGAATCCGGTCCGGTTGGCCAAACCAAATGGCAAAATGGAGCACCAGGAAAATGCCCAGTTGCCTCCATCTTGTGGTCCATCAACATGATGAAAGGAAAGGTGCCTGGTTCCTACACAAGATCCCCCCGTTTTGTACGTGCATGTGATATCATGATGCTTGTACAGAAAGGGCGGAGCTTCATCACACTTCCCTTCCATAATGGGCCCATTACCTCTGTGGACCTCTCTGACTCTGCCAGTTAAGGATTGAAACATGGCAGCCTCTTGCTCTGCCAGCTCCTCTGAATTAATGCTCCAGGAGGAGTCCCTGTTCACATCTTGGCCCTGCCAGGAACTCACTGAAGGCAAAGCCAAACACTCTTCGCTCCCAACCCCATTCTTCCCACCTGCAAGATGGAAGCTAATGAGACTGAGGGGCAGAATTGCTGGGAGGGTGTGAAGCAGCAGGAAGAGTCAGAAGGAGCAGGCAAAGGTTAGGTGTTGGTGAAAAAGCAGTGAGTCTTCCAGTCCTGGAGGGGTGCTTGGAAGCTGATCTCCTTTCAGAGAGGAGGCCCTAGATTTGATTTATTGGGAGTCACAACTCAAAGCAGACCTGCAGCTGAAGCTCTTTTTCTTCTCCTTCCTCCTCTTCCCCCTTATAGTAAATGTCATTCTGGATCCAGACACAGCCCATCCTGGCCTCGTCCTCTCCGAAGATCGTAAAAGCATCAGAGCAGTTGATGAAGATCAATGCCTTCCCAAAAACCCTGAGAGATTTGAAAATTGGCTATATGTCCTTGGCTGTCAGGGGTTTTCAACAGGGAGACATTTCTGGGAAGTCACTGTAGGAAAGAAGGAGGAATGGTATGTAGGGGTTGCCAAAAAGTCAGTGAACAGAAAAGATTACATCGAAGTTTGTCCTGAGGAAGGGATCTGGGAGGTTGGGAAATGGGAAGGGAAATACCGGGCCAACTTTCCCCCAAAATACCCCACACTGGTCCCAACTGAGGAGCTCAAGAGCATCCGAATCTCTCTCAAAAAGTCAGTGAACAGAGAAGATTACATCGAAGTTTGTCCTGAGGAAGGGATCTGGGAGGTTGGGAAATGGGAAGGGAAATACCGGGCCAACTTTCCCCCAAAATACCCCACACTGGTCCCAACTGAGGAGCTCAAGAGCATCCGAATCTCTCTCAACTGTGAAGGGGGACAGGTGACCTTTTTTGATGCCCAGACCGCAGCCCTGCTCTACACGTTCTCGGAAGCTCCCTTGGCTGGAGAGACCCTTCTGCCCTCCTTCTCTCTGAACAATGATGACTGTCTGACGCTCTCTCCCTAAAAGTGGGGACATACATGGAGAAAACTTTGGAAAAATCTGTATTTGCCAAGCAGTGATCTCTGAAAGCCTGTAGAGCAAAATTGCACAGATATAAATACTGCCCCAAATGGAAATTGGCTTGGGGGAGGGAGGATGTGTCCTACACAGAACCTGTGTCAAAGCTGTGCCTCATGATTACCTGCATCTTCTTATAAGTGTTTTGAAGATGTACTGATACAACCTTTGCAAAAAATGATTAACTATTTTGGAAAAGGGATGAATACTAGAAAATTTGAAAGGAGCGAATATTGGTTTAATTCATAAAGAAGGACAGGATCTTACTTTACCAAAAAAATGATCCATTTATTTACTGAACCATGACTACAAAATATTTACTGTGGTTTTAGCTGAAAGAATGAAAGGTGTTTTGCAGGACTTTATGCGTGAAGATCATTGAGGAAACCCACCTGAAAGAGAGTTGAGGGACAATTTAAGAAATATTCTTAATATACTAGACTATTTGGAAGAATATAATGGAAAACTACCATGTTGATATTTCTTGAAATGGAGAAAGCATTTGACAGTTTGGACTGGATTTTTCTATTTGAAATTTTGCAAAAAATGGATTTTGGAGATAACTTTATTACATGGGTAAAAGTGATACATATGTCACAAACAGCACAAGTTCTAGTCAACCAAGCTCAGAGGACACCCAGCAGAAATGCCTTCTCTACGAACCTCTCCGTCTAATGGCCATGCCTTCTCCTTCACTGGCTTCTTTTTAATTTTATTATGCTAAACTACTTATCAAAAAGAAAATATAAATGCATATAGTATTAATAAATGTTAAGAGTAGTGATCC